ACAGTTCTGACGTGATGTGTTAACAACTGAAATGTCTTACTGAATCAGGTGCTGACTACGTGTGTGTTTTTGGGTTTTGATGCTGATCCTTCATTGAACATTGTGGCTCGGATACGTGGACCAAATGTAAGCCCTTCTGTACTCAATTGATTTGTCTAGTCACTTTTCGAGGTCAGAGTTCATGCATGACCGTATCTGGATAATCCTTTAAGAAATTTGATTAGATGCTTTCTAAAGCCTACATGTTTATTTGGTCTCATTTGATATGTGATGTGACCACTTACTCATCTTATGTTTTTTGTTTTCATACTATTCTAGCCTTTCACTCACTAGGAGTGCCCATGTCTTTGTTAACATCTGATTTGATGGTGTGAAAATATTGAGGTATTAATATGAGCACTGTTTTTCCATGAGTTGATTAGGCAAGAAAAGGGTGGATGGACAGTTGTTGCCCTCTATGGTTACATATGCCACTGTAATACTTGTTAGTTGCTGAAAGTAATGTTCAAAAAGGTGAAAAACGGCTTGTCTGATTACTATAGAAGCACCTTTTTCCAATGAATATTTAACTTGTCTGAGAGTCTGTCTGACATGTAAGTTTGTGTCCACACTCAGAAGTCACAAGAACAGGAGGCGCTTGCCAAATACTACTAGTAAGAAAGTTAATTACCAGTAAAATATATAGGCTGGACATTTTGTATTTACTCTTCAATATGTAAAATTATATTTACCAAAAACAGATCCGGAACTATGCTAATTAGTAACCTTGACCTATAGAAATAATTAGTCTGTATTTTTTTATCCAATGCCATTGCCATATTTTTATTTCTATTTGGTAGATATAATTCTTTAGTGTTTTCTGAATTTTACATCGTGTACAATGAAGTCGAGATAATCTAATGTTTCAAGCTTTCTCTGACATCTCCATACGATTGGGAGAAATTGTTTTGGTGTTGGTGGTGGTTTGGATTTGAACGTGCAGGACCAATATATAAATCACATTATGAATGAAACAGGAGCAACAGTTATACTGAGAGGACATGGTTCAGGAAACAATGAATGCTTGAATGCAGAAGGTGCCTTCTCATTTCTGTCATCTCGACTTCTGAAGGGCATGGTATTTCAGCATAGTTCATTTATTCATTGTATATATTTTTCATTTGATTACCTTTCTGGTTGCAGATGGACAGCAGCCTCTGCATCTGTTGTTGTCCAGCAGCAATGCAAAAAGCCTTGATGATGCTAAGCTTTTGGCTGAAAATCTTTTGGATACAATCTGTACTGAGTGTGGTGCTTCAAGGTATTTAGTTTTGTACTGTAATAGGGTATGGGATCTATGGGCAAGATGTTTCTCCTCCCAAGTGGAAATTTCTGAAATTTGTGTCCTCTTTAGATTTTAATTCTTGCCATGAAGAAACATAATTTTTTCGAGACAGTCCCAATTTCTTACATGGGATAGCTGATGTTACATGACACATACCTTTTGATAATTAAATTTATGGATTTTCAACATGACAAGTTTAAAACACATTTTTCACGTTCTATCATTTATATTACTAGTTTATTTTCAGTGAACTTTTGGTAGATTACTTTAGTACTGTTAGGATATTTATCCTATTTTATCATCATTATAGTGTGTCAAGGGTTACCCTATTTATCATGATTATATTGTGTCTAGGATTACCCTATTTATCATGATTATATTGTGTCTAGGGTTACCCTATTTATCATGTATTTGTGTATCAATTTATTCTTATAAATAGAAGATTGTGAGAGGGATCAATTAAGCCCTCAAGAATTATTTCTTTTCAATCTTAAGTAGTACCATTGAGGAAAAGGGGCTGTAATATAAATAGTAAATTTCTCTCCATCCATCAATCCTGGGAAAACATGGATCCCCTTTTTAATTTAAGGGTGTTCTCATTTAAACCTATACCATACAGATATCAATCAGAGGACTCAAGTGCCTGGCTGTGCACCTGGTGCTGATATTCTCACATCTGTAAATGCTGTGCTTTAAGGCACTATCTGTAAAACAACAAAGCCATATTAGGGGCTCTCATTAATATAAAAAAAATTACATTCATTAGGATGAGATGAGTGGAAAATGAACACTCTAGGTTTTTGTGTTAGTCCTTGCTAAGAGGGCTACCCTAGAATTAAGTATCATGTTGATGACTAAATGCTTATGCCCTTCTCCATTCGCTTCCATGATAGCAGCTCATTGGTTTATACACTGTTTTCATGAATGTATGTTCCCCTCCCAGCGCTGTCTAGTCCACTAATATCATCATTATACGGTTGCTGCAATTATTATTTGTTTACAATTGCGTACTTTCGGGTTTCAGGTGCAGTTTTTTATTAAGGGCTAATTTTCCAATTTTAACTACGAATTGCTGGATAGTTCAAATATGAAATTTATATTGGTTTGCATCAAAGTTAAATATAGTTTTAGTTTCTGTGGAACTGAGATTGAGTTTAGGGCGGTTTTTGGTGGGAAGTCTAAGATCTGGTAAATCTAATTGTGGCAGTAGAGAAAAATTCCTCTGCCTTGTACCATTTCAATGCTTTTAACTTGTGTTATTTGATTATATTTATTGTTGGTGCTGTGATATGGTACTTCATGTTGATTTTATATAAGTTTTAGGGAATAACTTATGATTTAACTGTCATAGGGTTTCATCATGTAAGGTTTATAGTGCTGTTCCACCTCCACAGCAGGTATACACTGCTGTTCCACCTCCCCAGCAGGTATATAGTGCTGTTCCACCACCTCAGCAGGTTTATGATGGCCTTTCATTGTCAAAGCAGATTCCTACAGTCATTTCACCCCCACAAGTTTACAGCGCTGTACCACCCCCACCGAAGTTGACAGGAGTTCAGAGCCCTGCAGTTGAGCAAGAGGCAGTTACCAGCGTAACCAGTAGTTCTATGGCAGCAGTAGTGGCCTTGAAAGCATTTCCTCCAGCTTCCTCGGTTGGAGTGATTGGTGACACCGCTGCCCTCACTTTGGGAATGACACCACAACTTACTGGACATTTAAGCTCTGGCCATCAAGCAAACGTCATTGGTTACACTCCCCCCCCTTTAGTATCTGGTGGCACTAGCTATATTGGATATGGTGGAATATATCCTCAAGCTACCCCTTTGCAACAAGTTGCCCTTGCTTTGAGGCACTCACCTCCTGTCTCTTCAACAGTTGATCCCACAACATTAGCATCAAACGGAGAGTCCAAGCCAACCTCATGCTTTGATCTTGAAAGGGAGAAGCGGCCACCCCAAAAACGAAAGTTTCAAGAATTACCAGTTGGTTCGAAAGGCACAGCAAAACTCAATCAGGTCATTGAATTGCCATTGATAAAATCTTTAAATACATCATTGCATGCATTGAGGGAAATTCCCTTAATTTAGTTGTTTATAGTAAGCTTGCAAAAGAATGAAGGACTTGGTTGAAGTTTAGATTTATTTCTACCTTAAGCATCAGATCTAGAGTTACTTGCCATCACCAGAGTTGAAACTAGGACACCACGAAGCAAGGAAAAAACCGTTTTGTATTCTTGATGGGCAGAATAGCTTTTAAGAATCTCAATTCACTTAATTTACATATTTTGTAAACAAGACAACACCAGCTTGGAATTCCATTTTCTTTCAAAGCCCCCTTAGGTTTACACCAACTCCTGACATTTTTCCCGAAGGATTCACATAATCTCGTACAAGAATGCTGGTTCTTTTGATTAAAGATTCTGTACACACATGCTATTGAAAATCTTCAATTATTCATTGAATTTCTTAGATGTTGGTTGTCCTTGTGGTATTTTGTTTCCATAATGAGTGGAAGCCTGCTTATAGGATTCTAATTCAATAACTGAAATGATATTGAATTTCAAATGCTTTGGAAAGGGAGGTCACTTATATGTAGACAGGTTTGTCGGAGGTTAATGCCTTCAAATTGACTGATATGATATATATAAGTCCCCAGTGCTGCCGGATAAAAGTAATATTTTCTAGATTTCCCCTTTCACTGTTCCCACTCTGCCTGCTACATGGAATGATTCTTATGCGTACATGATGAGTGCATTTTTCTTGTTTACACATTTAGATGAACTTTGCCATTTGGCAAAGAAAAAACAAAATAAATTAAAGGTTTAATTACTTAGTGGTCTTTGTAATAGTTTTCGAAAAATTTACCTTTTAGTTCCAATACTTAAATAAATTCCACCTTGGGCTCTACATACTATTTTTAATTCCTTTTATTTACAAAAAAGGATTAAAAATGATGTACAGGCAGGAACTATAAGAGATTAAAAGAAATTGTGTATTACTAAAATGAGATGTTTAATGTTCTGTTAGAGAGGAAAGAAATAGAGTTAGTGGAAGGGAAACAAAAAAGGAAGAGAAAGATTGAGATATCAGTGGAAATAGGGATGATTTGTTTGGAAAAGAAATAGATGAGAAAGAGAATGAAAATGAATATATATTTTTATTGAAAAACAACTGTAATCGATTAAATTGGCTGCAGAATCGATCATGTGCTCTTATTTTTTAGCACAGTCCCTCTACCCTTTACAGCATATTCGATTAAGTGTCAATCCTTCTATTCTTGACAACAGGGTTAACTGTATGGTCAAGAATATAAGGATTGTGTTAAAAAATATAAGCACATAATCGGTTATGTTGACAACATAGTGTTTTTATTTTTAACCATTTTATAATTGGTAAACAATTGATTGTTTTGTGTCTTAAGTTTTTTTCCACTTCTCATTCTTATGCAGAAAGTTTTCGTATCACTCAATTTGGATTTTTGAACTTTCTGTTCACTCAATCAAACCACCATAGTTCGTTTTTCTTTCCTATGTCCTCTAATCCCCTTCTTCATTCTCATCCAAACTCAACATAAAAGATGTATTGTGCAATTGTAGGGATCAAACAAGTAAAATTAAACCTAAATTAAGTCTTTTGTGGAGGCATATCAGGAACAAAGAGCCATGTTATGGTATTGTTTTCCCTTTGAACTACAGCCGTAGCTTTCTGTTGATATCATACCCTTCAGAATTTAATTCTTTATTTCTTGCTTTAGCAAAGAGATCATAAAAGTATTAGTGCAGAACACTTTTTCTCAAATACTGTTCATCTTTAGATCTGTTCCGATTTAAACGTGTATTTTTGTGCTGACTGTAATGCTTCATATTCCAGGTATTTTCTCTGACCTATGAAGCTAAAAGCCTGACACTGGACCTGTCTGTTGGGCCATTGGTTTGTATGTTTGACAGGGTTTTCAATTTTGGAGGAGTAGGAGCGTGTATTGTGACTTTTTCCTTCATTGGTAAAATTGCTGCAAAAGATGTGGCGTGCTTTTTGGCGATCATGCCCTCCTCTAGTCCTGCATACAGGGACTGTCAATTTCTTGAAGGGAAGGGTTTATCATACCAAATTGATGAAATCTTTTAAAGGGAAGAAGACAATTTGGGATAGTAGAAAATATAAAACTAGAGAATGAGATATCATAGGTAGGTATAATAAGAAAAGGATTACATCAGAGTAGATTAAAATTATGGGCGAAGTAAATTAAAATAAAAAAGTTCTTTCCCTTAGTTATCGTCACACTTTTAGAACATCTTACAACACCGTTGTTCGTTGTGCAAATAATTTTATCTGAATATTTGACATCAATGCTACATTTGGTATATGAACTCCAACCCATTTATCGGGGAAATTTGGGCTGCAGATTTACAGTTATAACATTTTTTATTTGGAGAATGGCAATAAATTACTGTATACCTGTCTTAATATTACTTAACCATTTACATAATCTGGCTAGCTTTTATACTTTCTGGCTTCCTGCTATTGTTTGTCTCAGTAGATCAATTTTGGATGTTACGGTACACTAGCAACAAGTCGGTACCTGTTTATTTTACCATGTAGTGTTTTACCTTGCTTTTTGTGTTTGTTTTCCTCGTTTGCAGTTCAGTGTCTTTATTTGACTTTCAAGTCTGGCGTGTTGGGACGATTAGTTAAGTACCTGATTCAAAAATTGTATTTGGGTTTTTGTTTTCTCCCACTCTATCTTGATTGCAGGGTTTGCAACCTATAAAACCTAATGAACAACTTGATGGTCTTGTTGTGAGGAATATATCAACTATGCCTGCCCCTAAGAAGTTGGTCCAGCCATCATCCAACGGAATGCCAACACCTCTACCGAAAACTATGCCACCACCGCCTCCACCTAAATTTTCGGGTCCATCTGAAGTTAAAGTACAAGACAACAAGAATTTGCTTAATACAAATTCTGATGCAGTTCCTGGTTAGAATCAAGCTTGTTTTTACTATATTTGGGTCATTACTGCTTTGAAGCTTCATTTCTTTTTTCTCTATGGAATATCTAGTTTTTGTTCTGACCCTGAAATTTTAACTTTACAATGTTTCGTTTTATTAGCCATCTTTAGACTGTTTTTATGTAACGTTTACGTATTTCAGATACTTTGGTGAAGCTAATGGAATACGGAGAGGAGGATGACGATGATGTAGATGATTCTAAAGAGGAATCATTTCCTCATGGCAGCCAAGCAAATGGGGTTCAAAAGCCTTTCTGGGCTTTATGAGCTACAAAGTGTAAATTGGACATAAGATGTGTAAATATTGTCTTGATTGTGTCCTCTTCTTCCGGGTGGAAAGGAAGCCCTCAGCATGATTTTTGGAGCGACATAGTTGACTGTTGAGAGGAATTTAAAAGGTTGTAATTTCTCATTCCCATGCTTCGTTAGAGAAATCGTATGTTGTAATTTTTTGTCGTATGCATGTAACACTGCTAGCGTCTTTACTGTGCAGTGATAAGTCACAGTTTTCACTCACCCCAAATTTTCTTGTTAGAAACCCTTCAATTTTTCGTCCTGACTGATAATGAAACTGTGGTTACCATTTTCATACAAATCAGTGCGATATACTCTAATTATTGAAATCTCACGTTTCATTTATTTATTTTGGGTCAGCGATTTTAAATCCCAATATATAAATTGCACAAAATCCTGTGTATATGTAAGTAATAAAATCCAATCCATTTTCACACCAATTCAAACTACTTTAAAGTTTGTTTTGTTTGAATTCACCTCTAAATCCATTTTTGTAGGGCCTGTGATGCGGGTCAGTCTCTTAGAAAGTTAAAAGAAAATTAAAATAAATTGGCAATTGCTTTCTGTACTCTGTCATTTTCTTCCCGCATCCCATCATTTTATTTAATTCCAATTTTATCCGTTTTTGAAATCTGTATCAACAAGGAGGCACAGTAAAGAAGAAAGGATTATTAGTCTTGCATTGTTGGAGATTCTTCTTGCTTGCTTGGTCTGATATGGAGGCTAAATGGTTATCCGAAAATGTAATTACGGAACAAATAAATCTTAAGTAGTTCGCTTATGTTCCGGAAAATATATTCCGTAATACTAATGAAGGTTTTACTAAGAATGACAAGTAAAAAAACAACCTTAAAACAAATGATTTATTATTTACTATAAATAACTAAGCGTATCACAGAATAAAAAATATTAAAATAGATGATGAAATAAAATCTAGATTTCTACTGGTAAATGATAAAAAATGTTTGATCACATTAATCACAAACTATATTACACAACAATAAAATACAAAAAAGTTAACAATGAAATGTTGACAAAAATATATATCGTTCGTTCCTTTTTACACCGGGCTGTGGGGAAGTCCACATGGCCTAACCTGTTTTACCAATCTAGTTTTCATAATTATAAATAAGTTTAGTTCATTTAAAAAAAACAATTAAAACCAATGCTAATACTAAAATATTGTTTGGTGAAAATATTTTCAAGTATGATATTTTCACTTACTTTAAGGTCTTATCTCTCTCTCGACATCGTTCACTTGGACTCAGTCTATGTAATTATTTATGTGACACCAACTAAGATGTTACTTGATATATTTATTAGAAGTTTCAATCTAAAAATCTATAAATTTTAGTTTGACTAGATCTTAGGTTGAATTTTTGGGCTCAATCAGGAAAATTGTCTTAGGAGTTTCACTCGAGACATCTTTAGTTCAAAATTAGTTAGATAATCTTTGGACTTAAACATTAACACTTTGATCTTGACTAAAGTAACTTCAGTCTAAATTTATCCATGCTATCTTTGCTCCATTTTTTCAAACCGTTCACGGTTTGATACAAATTTTAAAATTGGTTTATAATTAAAAATATTAATACTGACTTTGACTAAAATATGAACACTTTGACTAAAGTAGCTTCAATTTTACTTTATCTGTCATCTTTGGCTCCGTTTTTTCAACCCGTTCATGGTTTGATACAAATTTAAAATTTGGTTCATAATTTAAAAACCAATAATGGATTTGCAAAAATCTGGCTTTAAAACCATATTCAAATCACTTCCAAAAAAATATCTGAACTAGTCTTGCCCAATTAAATGAATGTGAACTTGAAATCTAATTAATATAATTGAACATTTAAAAATCAAACGAATGAAACAGAAGCACCTAAAAAGCCATTTCCCATTGAACAACAAACTAAGAATGTCCTTGAATGAGGAATTTGAAAAAGTAAACAACTTCAATAAATGTCCTTCGTGGGCAAGACTACTTTGCATCCTGTATTTCCCTGGAATAGATTGTTGTTTTCTTAACTCCAGCTTTCCCATTCTTAATATCATTTGATATTATGAACTATTTAATTTTGTATATTCGTTTACCATTCCAGATACTGAATGTAGATCAACAATAAAACTATTCTAAACGAAGTTCAACTCCTACAAAAATATTATTTTTCATCAGTCCTTGAGCTGACAAACTATCATGTTCAAACCACGCAATGAACTGCTGAAAATCAAAAAGTTAAAACAAGATATTGGAACAAGCACCGGTTACTTGCTCTAGGCATGGTGAAAATTCTCACCTGCGGGTCTGAGCATAGTCATCAGGTTCATCACTGTTCCCCCTCACATTGTCTTCAAGTGGCTCATTGAATTCATAATTGTCTGCTGCACCTGTTCCTTCATTTTGCTTGCTTCCGAATTCACCACTAGCTGAGCCAAGATCTCCACCAGAATTTCCACCAAATTGGTAATTACTAGTTTCAGCATTGCCACCGCCATAGCTTCCTGTAACACCAAAACCACCACCACCTCCATAGCTTCCACCCCTGCTGTTGTTTCCTCCATAACTATCACCGCCATAACTTCCACCCCTGCTGTCGCCATATCCACCTCCACCATAGCCACCACCACCACCACCATAACCACCACCACCATACCCACCACCTCCACCATAGCCACCTCCACCACCACCGAACCCTGGACGTGCCCTTTCTGTAGCATAATTCACCCGAATTCTCCGACCATGAAGATCCTGTAACACAACTATTAGAGATACCAAAGAAACATTGCCAATCTTGTAATGTAGGCAGACATTAGCATGATTAATCTATTGAACTAACTGTAACAATTACTCGATGCTAAATTCTAATGGAACTATCATGTGAAGAATTCTATCCTTGTTCCTTCTTTATTTTATATAGACAAGATTAATTGGTTAAACAATTTACTAAAACATGTATCTTTCAAAGTCTCGATCATGGTTATGAAATCTAACTCCATATTATAAGAATTCGTTGGTTTCACAAATATTCTTATTTTTAAACTTACTCCAGGAATACTAGGTTTTCACTAATTCATAAATAATATCAGGACAACTTTATAATTTCTTCAAACATACATATAAAATTACAGAAGTATTTAACAACATGCTTCCAACGTGAAATGTCACGAATGACATTTTTAAAAGTTAGCACGGACAATAGATAGTACCTGACCATCCAAGGCCTGAATTGCAGAAGATGCATCCTCACTTGTTGCAAAGGTTATGAAGGCAAAACCTCTTGACCTACCAGTTTCACGATCCATAATAACCTTGGCTGGAAGAATATCCAAAACATACAGTTTCAGAGCAGATATCAATAAGCAACATATTATGAAATTAAACATGTTTGCTCGACAAAGACATTTTTTAATGCTTGCTATATAAACATTTGATTGTTACCCGCCACTTTGTTACACAATACAGATGGTGGCTGTTAAAACACACTATCATCGCTAAAAACTACAATTGTGAAATTCATACGAAGACAGAGGACAGACTAAAGTATTTCTACTATGTACATAACTATCAATGAGTAGCCACTCTATCAAAGCATATTCATAATGTATGTCATTGGATTCTTCGGAACACTGAAAAAAGTATTCACAAATGACTTTTTTCCTTTTTCATGAGTGTGATATTTATTTATTACCTCTACCTCAAATAATGAAAAACTAGTGGACTATGTATGTCAGAAAAGTACCATCAAGAACTTCTCCATAGCGAGCAAATGCCTCCCGCAGGCTCATATCATCAGTGCTGTAAGAAATACCTGCAGCGAAAGTTTAAAAACTTAAGCTGAGTTCCATTCTGAAAATATACGTCATGCTAAGCTAAAGTACCTCCGACAAAAAGCTTTGCAGATGACATTGATCTAATTGCTTGGAAAAGTGAGGGGCTAGACATAGAAAAATCTTGATTCATGTGCTTGACAGCAGAATTCTTGAGTAGATTTCCAATTTTATTTAAGAACGCCATTGTTCAAACCTACAAAAGTATCACAAGCCAATAATTTACACAGTATGTTAATTGATCAATGTAACTTATGCTCATCGGCACACAAAAGTTCCAAACCCCAGATCATATTCTTTCATATTAAAAATAATCATCAATGCAATTGCAATGTATTTTCTCACTAGCCACAGCTCAAAAATTAAAAGTGACCACCAAACGTTGTGGAGTTGTGGTTGAACTCCACACTCCACAGCATCAAGTCTGTGGCGTGCCTTGTTCAATCCAATCGAAATACAGCGTATTCCCCACTTAACCATGAACTCATAGTAGTTATGGATTCGTGAATGAATGTTTTCAGTATCATTTCAGAAGGAATTCATTCCCAGTTAAAATTACTAACATATAATAGCCTTTCGCACCAAAAAGTTTGCCCCACTAGAAAGACACTGAATCGACAAGAACTCTTATATATGCTGAATACATGTTCATATGTGCAATAGGTCTGTCATAAACTTCTGAGGGAAAAAACAAACCCACCAGCCAAAGTACAAATAAAAAAAATGAGAATACCCACTTGTGATTTAAACAAAAAGAAGGCTAGCGGATCGTAAAAAATTAAATATTGCAGAGTGTAGGGCATAACCAAAGAGAAAAATAAGAAACTGCTACGAATCCAATAACAAGGGCATGCAGGGGAAAAAGAAACCAGCAAGAGTAAAATGTTGATAGACGTAAAAGAAATTAGTCCAAAGAAAGTTGTGAACTTTAGATCTTACCGGCCTTGTAGAACAGAACGGTGGTTCTGTTGTACTCGGTTCTCTCTTTCGGAGGCGCGTGAAGCTGTTAAAACCTAAAACCCTTGAATCTCCACGCTGAACTAAATAGGGCTTTGGCTCTGCAACTTGACACGTGGTGACTCTAGAATAAATAACACTAAAATAATGTACTCTGTTTTAAAACCCTTCCCCAACTTACCCTTCCAGAGAGTGGATTAATATTAAATATAATATCTCAAATTTAAAATATATTTCAGAGTCTGATGTAAAACATGATTCATGATCACAAATCCAAGGAAGAAAAAGAGTTAGCAAAAATTGATGATCTTTACAAAATCTATCTGATAAGAATTCAATATACAGTATATAAAATATTTTTTAGTTTATTTCAATAAAATTTCCAAAATTTATTTATGCACAAGACAATTTCATATTAAGAACATTTTTTTATAGGTGACAACGTTTTATAAATTTAGATATTCAATTGTATCATATAAAATTCTCTAAACGAAATAATAAAACGTTATTTTATTAAAAACTATATTTAACTATTTAAATGATATATTAAAATATATTGAATTATATAGTAAAGGAAATGTATATAAAGCATTTGTAATTAAGCTAGTCGTATTTGTTTCGAATGAAGTTAATGTTAAAATTGATTGGCAAACACGCATTATTTTCATTGCAAAGAATGGAAAGTGAATAATTGAGAGATAAAATCATTTTTTCAATCTTCAGATATATGCGCAGATTTAAAAATGTGGTCTTTATATTTATATTTATAACCGTGTTACTGGTTTCCATACTTGTGTATGAAGATTTAACATGAATGCGGTTCAAGACAAATGATGCAAATGTAATAATAACAATAATAAACATATAATAATAATAATAATTAATTTTTATTTTTTTTCGTTATAATAATTTTTATGATTATATATAATATTAATAATTATCATTTTATATTATTTTTACTAAAGTTATTTTAATAATTTTCAATTTATATAATTAAATCATTTTTTATCTGTGAAATATACTTTTACATTTATTATCATAAATTTTATTTCTAAATTTATTATCGCTTTCTTCCATATTATTAAAATAAACAAAATCAATTTATTCTCAAATACTCAAATTTATCTGCTTTCTCTCTCCTAAATATATTATCTAAAGTGAACATACTTCCAAATTATCCTCTAAATAAACACAACCTTAATGAAACAAATGTTATTAATTTCATGTTCAAGTTTCACGACAGAGAATAAACCCTTAAATTTTCTATTCTACATAATATATTTAAATAACCGGTAGTTTACTCTTAGATTAACTCGAGCTAACAATTAAAATAGAAGATATGTAGTATTGTAGTTTTCATGGTCCTATTAAATTTTCAATACACAAATAACAGTTCATCCAGAAGTATATAAAGCAAAAATAAATTTTCGTGTTACAAATTAAAATATACATAGACTGTAATATTATTTTATATTTTTATACATTTATTGATTATCATGATAAATTGTTTAACTTTTGTTATAATTAATTGAAATTCATAAAATGAATAATTAAGATTAGAGGTGAAAAAAATTCAAAATATAATAATTATTAATTGTTAAATATTATATACATATTCATTTTAATAATATTAAATTATTATAGGATTCTTTACACTTTTAACATATAAAAAACTGTTAATTTTATGGAACATATAAAATGCTATTAGAATGCTTAGAGTTAACCAACGTACCTACAACGTCAAAATATATGCAAGTTCCTAATTTATTAAGAATTGTATCACAATAAAATAAAAGTTTAATATTTAGAGTTTTACAAAAGATCTTATAAAAATAAAAAGTAATATCTTATGTCTATATGCTCCATCACCACCAAACACCAAACACTTGTTCTACAAAAACATAATCGTCTATTCGGATAATTAAGATCATCATTGCAACCTAGAAAACAAACAGAATATACAAACACAAATATAACGATAAACTAATATTACCAATAAATAAATATATATATATACCTAACTTTATTCAAAAATTCATGGAGCATGAACCAAATGACATATCTATGATATTCTTGAATTAGATTATTTGGATGAAGATGTATGAAATCCACACCAGTGGTTAATTTTTTCTTCATCAAGGATATTGTGAAGTGACATTATTTTGTTATATATTTTGGTCACAGAATATTTCAAACATCTTATGAATGAGTTGGGTTACAGCAAGTGTTGCATCATAATTTTGGGACCCACCTTTGGCAGCACCATGGGTTGGTTGGTGAGAAGAAAGAATGAAATATCTCTTTAATGAAATTTGTTTTGGCTCTTAAGAAAAAGTTTCTCAACAGTAGTGGCGGACCTTCATTCGGGGTGGAGATGGCTTCAGGCCCCACTTCGTCATGACATTAATTCTTTTTTCAATAATAATAAAGTTAAGATAAATGTTATTGATGATTAAAGAAAATACACTTATTTTATATTGGCTTAATTGTTTAAAGTAGATTTTGAGTTTTTTTTTATGTTTAAAATAATTTTATTTTTTAGAATTTTTGTTCAATTTGGTTATTTTATTTAACGGGTTTAAATCATTAACGACATAGTATTCAGGTTAGTCATTACTGAATGAGTTGTTAGTTTCTTATATACGTAGCAACATCCGCAATCTTAACCCTCCACTTCCTCCGTCACCTTCCTCGATTTCATCTTCCACCACTTGGTCTTTGTCGCCTCCTTCGACTTGGCCTAATTTGCAGACTTGTTTAGGTACCAACTTGGAGATGTGGTGAAGGTTATAGGGTTCCATAACTCAACTCCATAAGTGATGTTTGTTAGACGCAACAAGTCTTTGTCTTTAGTAATGACATTTCGTGGAGAGTTTTTCTATACAATATGTTTTGTCATTAAGGTTTATTTCCTAAAGTTTCCATTTTTAGTTGTGATCGTGACTATTTTTGGAGAACTTAATCATGGCTTTCAATGAATGTCCTTTTTTTGTATTTTATGTTTATCAAAATTGGATCTTAGTTCTCATTATTGGGTTTACCGAGGAGGTTCACTGAAAAGATACAACACCAATGAGATATGAGCCCAACCATATAAGGTATTAACATCACTCTCTACCAAAAACCTTAAGGCAATAGGTTAATGGATCTTCAACCTTATACGGTGTTCTACTTTCTCATTTCTACCAAATTTTAGACTTAGACTCACACTTGAAATTCTAACAATCTCCCCCTTCTAGGATGAGTCCCTTTGTCATTGGTACATTCTTCCTCTAGCAGAAGCAATTGAGTATTCATTTTCGTATTGTCGTTCATCTTAACGAGACACACTAACCTGAAATCCTTTGTTAGGAAGACTTTTGATACAGAGATCATTGTACTCGTCTAAGCCTAATTTGACTCTCATTGTACTCATTTGAGCTCAACCTAGCTCTAATACTACTTGTTGAGTTTATCGAGGAGGAGGTTAACTAGGGAGATACCACACCGATGAGATTTGACTCCAACCACATAAAGGATTGACATTACTCTCTATCCAAAACCTTAAGACAATGGGTTAATGGATCTTCAACCATATCATCTCCTTTACTGCTTCTAAGATAACTACATATTCAGTTTCAATGGTTGAGAGGGAGACTCTTCCTTGAAGTTTAGACTTCCAACTGATAGTTGTACCACCCAATGTAAAAATGTAACTTGTTGTGATCTTTCTACCATCCAGATATCCTTCCAAGTATGCATCAGAGAACCCTTGTAAAGTGAGATTGCTTCCCTTTTGAAAACTTTAAGTGAGTTCCCAAAGTTGTATTTCTGGTTTTAGCATTTCCAACATTAAATCTGCTATGCAAATTTTTTTCTATATATTTATCTTGAGATAAGTTTAAAATACCTTCATATCTATCTTTGGAGATTTTCAAACCAAGAATTTGTTTGGCAAGGCCAAGATCCTTCATTTCAAAATTTTCTGACAATTATTTCATCAACTTGGCCTCTTACCAAAGGAAGTATCTTATATGTATATAAATTCATGTTCATCTCTTGTTTTATCTCACATGAAACTTTTGTTTGTATCCTACCACTCACCTCAGTTCATCTTTTTACCAATAAAAACAACTACGATGAAATGAGTTTTTTCTTAATGAGTATCATCTTTTTGTCTTGCGTATGACCAAGTTGAAGAAGAGTTAGTGACTAGCAAAGTCAAATTTGGGACAGAGATTGAGCCACTCAGGAAAAGATTGAGTTTTACTGGTTTAGGGTACTTAAGTGAACGATTGAACTTATTCTACAATGCCTTTTAACTTCTATAACTCGATCTTCTTTCGGAGTGGTTTAATCTATATCCTAAGTTTGGCTTTTCTACTCATCAGCTCTTCCTTTCCTTGACTAAAATCCTTCGTTTAATAAGAACATGTAAACTCTAAAGTTCATAAATACTCATTTTGTATATTCTTTTATTGGATGCAGGACATTTAACGTTGATTCTCATTACACTAACACAAAGGGATTTCAATATCATCATTTCCACATCAAGTGTAGCAAAATCCCACATTAAAAATGCATGAGAACATTTTTGTAAATATTTTGGCCAAATTGACATTGGCCTACCTCCCAACTAACATGTTAATTTCTATGAATACTATGTAAGTTTATAAACTATAATATGATTGTATGTATGTATTAAGTATGTTATAAAAGGAAATTGCAAGGAGAAATTTCCCGTGTTGTTTTAAATTTTGTATGTATTGATGTAAGGATTTAGTATAAGTGTTTATGATGTTTTAATAATCATCCAATCTTAAGTAGAGAATGGTGGAGTATGTGGTGAGAGGAGTAGGAGGTCCTAATATAGGAACTTTACCTTGTCCTGAGGCATTAAAGGACTAACCTTGTGTATGGTAGAGAAAAATTCATTGGCAATAACTCTGTAGAGAATTGAAGGTTACCACAAATACATAACCCACCAAAATTCTACATCAGTACATATATCTGAATGGTTAAGTCTAGAGTTAACATCTTTATGTTTAGGAATTGTTTGATTCACTTGTGTTTAATTGTTATTTTCATAATTCAATTATATATATATATATATATATATATATA